GAGAAATAATGAAATTGCCATTGTAAAAGACAAGCAAATGGCATTCTTAGCAATTAGCAAGGGAAAGCATTTCAGTCAGACTGAAACTATATTCTTAATTGTTTGGGGAATTTATTGTTAGCAGATGTTTAATTTCCATAAGCAATTACTATTGGGAAAGCTTAAAATTATTTTTATGTTTATAAAAACCCCTTGTATTTTACTTCAGTGGTGGAGTAACCATTCACACAATGTCTTCTCAAAGACCCCACAAAGACCAGAACTGGCCTTGTTGATTCTTTCAAAGAAAACATGGGTGTATGTGTAGGAGAGTGCAGAGGAGAGGGTAACTCTATGTGTGGGCACAGAATGGAAATAAAAGGACAAAATACCTTTGAGGAAAGGGACGAAACATGCCAAAATACTTCTCTTACTGTCTACCTCTGTCACTAACAACCTCTACTTCCTCTCCCCCAACCCCATGTCAAAAAAAAAAAAAATCAATTTAGAAAACATCCTTGCAGATCACGTGGCAGCTGGCAAAGGCTGCTGCCCCTTCTGCCAGAGGCAGTTTAGGCTCTTGAAACAAAGCAAACTGGGTTGAAATTCTAGGCATTAAAAAACTAAAGCAGCTGCCTCCCTGACATCCTGGGTTGGACTCTGATTTCAGTTTCGCTTCTACTAGATCTTGGGTAATGTCATTGCTACGGTGTAACTGAAATGAGAACTGGGGCTGCTAATCTTGACATTGGGTCACCCAGTGGTAATCCATTTGTTATCTCTGTTACATTTGTGAGAGCACACACAGCCACTCCCTTTAGACTGCAGTAATTTATTTGGCCTATTTTATGTCTGATGGTCGCTTGAAACTGTACCTCCTGCCTGTCAGCAGCTGTAGTTGTTTTGCTAAGTAACGATCTAAAGTGAGACTTCCTTGTGCAAATGTGTATTTTAGACACTGTCACCAGAAATCCAGTGGCTCTCCTCTCTCCCTGTCCCTCTCTCCCTGTCCCCTTCAGCTGTTAAGATTTCAGGACACATGGCTTAAATGAACGTATGCTTGGAGTTTGCAAAATGGCTTGAATGACAGGAGAAATCGGATCACACAATGAGAGTTCAGAACGCAGCCACCAATTGGTACAGCAGGAGTCTGCAGCTTTCTTACGCTCATTATTGTCTCAGCATAACATCCAGCACTGTGTGTTTCTCACGTCCCCTCAGAAAAATGGGCATGCAGTGGAAAGGAGCGGGCGGAGGAATGTCCCCTTCCCTGGAGCGGGGCCCTCAGCCTCCGCTCTCTGTGGTACCCCCAAGGCCTGCGGGGAGCGGGGTGGAGAAGGGCCTGCACACCTTCTTGTACCTTCTTTGCTTACGCTGGAGAATCTCCAGCTTATCCTGCCAGTGCAGTGACTGCATGTGGAGGAGGGGGAGAGGTTGTGTTGCAAGCTCTGAGAAAATTAGTTGTCTCTATTTTATCTTTTGCAGCTGCAGCACTTTTTTTTTTTCTCCCCTCATCATTCCCCCCTCCCCATGCGAGTGGTATGTCTGAACCATATCCTTCAAAACCAGTTTTCTAAGCAGATTAGATGGGCAGCAGAAACAGCTATGCAATCAGGCAAAAATGTGCACTCAAGCCTTCATTTCACGCAGTGGCCAAAGCAGTGTCTACCACCTGCATTTTTTTACTTCATTCTCTCCCTTTGCTGTTATTCTGTAGTGCTGTTGTCTGTCACTGTTGTAGACTGAAACAAAATGCTCCTTCTGATCCTTAATTATATAAAAATTAGGGAGGGGGAAGGAAGTTGGGTTCCACACTAATACTCATTAACATGAAACATAGAGCATGCTCCCGAGCTGGCATGCTTCACCATGCAAAGTGACATTTGCTCCCTGTGAGCGTGGGGAACGGTAGGGTAATCTGGGGATTACCCTCAGGTCCTCTAAAACCAATCCTCTCCTGACCAGTCTGGAAAACCAGTGTCTCAGTTTACTGCTCCTTTGAATTCAGTATACTCCCCTGGACTGCCACTGCAAGTGAATTTGGCCTCTTGCTACCCCATATCTTTCAGTGCTCCCTATCAGCCTTGTTGCATGCTAGGAATCTGACAATAATGGTCTTCACCTGCTTTGAGATATCATAGGAACTCTGAAGCAATGGAATTGGTTTCATGTCCGGTCTCTTATAGGAGCTGTATTTGGGACTAAGCTCTCCAGACAAGTTTGGAAACCTTATGTCTTGTTCAGTGTGGGTGGAAAATAGGGATTGGTTAGTGGGCTGAGTGGCAGACCTGAAGAAGAGAGAATTGAGTAAGCATTGGCTGTCTTCCAAGAGAGGAAACAGAGCAAAGTGTCCCAGGAGCCAATTGTTGCTCCTCTAGAGGAGAGGCAGGAACCCAGAGAAGGTGATCAAGTAATGTTTCTTACTGTGAGTCTGGAGAAGCAGGGAAGAGGAGTTGTGTGACAAAAGTAGAAAAGAGAAAGTGGGGGTTGAGGTTGAGGGTGGAGGAAGAGAGGAGAGAAAATAAACCTTTTATTTTCTATAGAGGGTATGAAGAAGGAAAGAAAGATAAACTAAACTGAAAACTTTGGTGTGCTTTGTAGGGTAAGAAAGAATTTACTATAAGCCCAGACAAAGAAAATTTGATTTGAAATACTGGTAGAAAACTGCGCTTTTTAACATTTTGGCATAATGCACTTAATTATCTTCTGCTGATCTATCAAAAGTAAAAAATTACTTAGACAAGAGTTAAAACTTGCAAACAAGAGAGACTCAATCTTGCTGGCAAAAAGGGGGTGAAAAAGTGGGTGGAAAGCTGGTTGAATGTGTCAACCACAAAAGCGGTGAGATACAGTCGTAGAGAATTCAGGTTTTAAAACACAAGGAAATTGTGCAGAGATATTTCTCACACTGACTCGTAAATAGCATCTTTGGGTGTGCAGCTCTGCCAAATTTACCCTTGTTACAGGGGCAACTTGCAGTAAGTTCCCACCATAGCCTTACACCATCTGTTTGAATTACTTAGAGGAAAGGTTTGTCTCCTTATTCCCCTTCTATTAGATGTGACAGATTAATGTCTTTGAGGGCAGATCACTGTCAGGCTAAACCTTTCTCTGATTATGATTCCTTATAACTATAAAACAGTCATAAGGTTATGGAGTTTAAAAAGAGAGGTTTATTGCAATTTCCAACACTGAAACTACAGGGTAAGTGTGTCTCCTTTTCTTTTTTTTTTTAAGAGCAAATCAAATCCATCCATACAGACACACACTCTGCCTTCTCTCAAATATACCTGGGGGAAGAACACACACTACAAGAGCTGCATTATAGAGTCTACAGGAAAGCTACTAAAATAGCTTTTTGTGAATGCATACTAATCTTCCCTCCGAGTCCTCTCCACTTGTTTTAAGAACTGTCTGCTGAGCATGAGTTGGTGGCACCCAAACATTTGGGGTAGAACCCAGAGCCTTCAGCAGCTCCACCAGTGGTTGTTTCTACCAAGTGCTCATAAAAGCTGTGCCTGTGCCTTGGCTTGAAGCAGCAGGGTGAACTGGTCAGACATCTGTTGTGAACTCCCTGGTTCAATACTTGTCAGACTCTAAACTTGTCATTAAACTCAGCTGATGAACTAAATCCTACAGTCCTTAGCTCATGCCAGGAGCTGTGCAGGAGGCAGAAGGGTGCTGATATTGCTATAATTTAAGTTCCCTGCTGAGGAAATTTCTGCAGGAGTGAGATTTGTTCATGGTATTATTTTTAAGCCAGCTTGTAAGATTGCTGCTGTGATCAGTAGGAGACTGCTCTGAGTTTTCTTTGGAGTGGCTTTTTCAGGGAACAGCGTAGTGTCTTTAAAATGGAAACATTGTTTTTCTCCTAGAAAAGCACAGTGCTAGATTTCTGATCTCACGTAAAATTAATTAACTAGCTTTTACCAGAAGTGTTACATTGACCTGTCTATGCTGCCTGAATGGGAATACCTCTTTGTTTTGCTTTACTCTAACTGATCTAAAAGGCTTCACTTGGAATTGGTTCAAAACATTGCACTGGATTCCAGGTCATCCTTGACTGCTCAGAGAGCTGTTGACTGAAGTACCTATTCTGCTGGACTCCAAGGGCCCTGGCCTTCCCATATGGCAGCACAGGTCTCCCAGGGACCATGCTGTGCCACAGGAGACCTCAGTGTGTGCTTTGGGAACTGCCTTGCAGCACGGGGTCTCATCCAGAAGTGGGGCCAGAGTAACCAGGCTGCCAAGCTGAAGTGACTGGGGCAGTGCAACACTGTGGGAAGAAAAGCAGATCAACATTATACTGACTCAGAACAAAATTTCTCAGGTCAGGTCACCAAACCAAAATGAACTAACTGTGGTTTCAGTAATGCAAAATATTCCATTTCAAATGACACAAAATGCACTGGTGTTCACAAATAGGTTTCCTTTTTTTTGTTTCTTTTTAAACTTGTGAACTTCCATTCTACATAGTCTTTAATTTCAGTTTTTCTGCCCGATTTGGGATGAGAGCAAATGTTGAAATACTGGAATTTCTTCCTTTCTGGGGAGGAGGCAGCTGGTGAGTAAGAGCAACCAGTTTCAGGGTTGGGACAGCTAACTCTGAAGCCCTGTACGCTGGAGCAGAGCAGGCGCGATGGAGGGGGCAGATAGGCCATGGAGGGGAGGGAACACACCGGCAGGAGGGAAGTAGGAGACAGGAATGAGAAACAGCAATAAGGGCTAGAACAAAAGATAAGGAGGAGAGAGCAGAAGTTTCTGCTTGGCTCCCTGGGCTGTAAAACAGCTCTGTGTCTGTGCTATTACACTGCTGGTCGTGCCTGGCTCAGCACTGCTTGGCTGAGTGTCCAGCAGATATGTGGGAAGGTGCCACAAGAGCTCCTGTCCCAGAGCACAGGAGGAACTCCTTGGAGAGGTCAGGGCCTGGGTGAGGTAGAGTTGGGGGTCACAGCAGTGAATGGTCAGGCACTGCTGCAGGGTTTCACTTCTGCTTGCAGAGCAGTTGAATCCTTCTGTGCAAATGGAACAGGGGGTGAATGCAGGACCAAAAGCTGAGCACTTCTGAGTTCTCATCCTGGCTCTGAGCAAGGCACTGCAGCCCTTGTGAGTCAGATTCTCTGCCACTGAGTCTTTTTCTGCAAAGCAGAAAGCAATACTCTTCTCTGGTGGGACTAGGAAGGACACTAGTGACTGTTCCTAACACTGCAGAGTGTTTATTATTTAGCAAGTTTCTTGACTTTTAAAAATAAACCAAATTGATACACTCCATCCATCAGCAGTGCCCTCGAGGAATGAGTAGCTAATTAGAGAGCAGGACTTGTGAAAAGACAAACCTGGGTTATGCACAGAACAGGTTTCGCCAGTATTTATTGCCCATGTTACTGGCCAAGCTTCCTTGTAAGTAATAGTCAAATAATCGGCCTGGGTCCTTTTGTGAATGGCTTGAGTCTGTGTGGTCCCTCCTTTGTTAGAGCAACTCATGGCTTCTGAAAGCTTCTGCACCCCCTGTTCTGAACAGCAGAGCCTGGTGGCACCAGCTGCTTCTGCCTGGAACAAACATTTGCATGTGGCATAAAAAGAAAAAAGCTAGTTTCAAAATGTATTTTCTTTTCCTTATGCCCTCATTTTTTAGCCCTAGTTCAAACTCTGGAAATATTTAAAAGATTAATATATTTAGCTTTTGCTACAAGCATCTTTTAAACAAGTAAAGCTTAAAGAGGAAAGAGAAATCTTTCAGAAATAAAACAGCAGCCAGTGTTTGGAAATATTTTAACAATAGACCATATGGGAGTCCCAAACTATTAAGCTTTATTATTCAGAAGGCGGAAAATGTGGTTTGATATTCAATTGATATACAGCATAAATGAGAGCCGCAGACTCGGCTCCCTTGAGCTGGGATTCAGATGTTCTCTTGAATATAATAACCAATGCTTTGGCCTAGTTCCACAGAATGCATCCAGCCTGCTGATCACAAGCCAAGAAACTGTAGGCTTTTTTTCCCCTTCCCTTCTCTTCTCCAAACTACTTTCCTCTCCTGCCAGCATGAGCTTTTGGCCTGAATATAAATCTCCTGATACTGGATGTGTATAGAAAGTGGGGAGGACGCTAATGGTGCACAGCATTGGAGCTGTGTGTGTGCATGTGTGTGTTTGTTTTTCTTCTGCTTTCATGATAAGGTTTTCCCCTCGCAGTGTGCTCTCAAGGGATTACATTGGTCATCCCAGGTGGGAGCTTCTTTGTTCATGCTTCACTGTTTGTTTCTTAGTGCTGTGGGAGCAGGTGAATATCTTTTGGGGTTACTGTGAAGTGGTGCCAGAGACCATGAGAGTGTGGAATTTATTGGAGGGAGAAACTGGAAGTGGTTTCTGTTTCTTTCAGCTTTTTTTTTTTTTTTCCCTGGTTTGATTTGCATATATTTATATTTGCCCTTACCCCTTTCTATCATGTCTCTTTTAACTTTCTCTCCTATGGGGAAAAGAACCCATAAAAGCTGCTTAAAAAATATTCTGTATTGTGCTGGTTTTGCACACATGTACCACACGCACATGGACTAAGATTACCTGTATGCAAAAGAATGCTGAAAGATTGATACTGTGATCAAGTTATGGCAGGCTGGATCGTCTATTTTTTGCTACAGGATCCTTTTGGTACTGACATCCTCGGCTGTGTTGGGTCTATCTTTTCTATCCTCTCAGGATCTCTGTGGTTTGTCATTTTCCCTGAGTAGGCAGGAGACACCAGCATTAAGGTATCTTGCATTTTTCTCTAGAAGTATGGTGAGCCCAAGAAAAAAGACTCCCACTTTACATGCGAGTCCAGGAATGCCTCTCATGTAGAATACTGGAGAGAGTATAAGTTATGCATGATGAATATGAAGTTTAGTTTTGGCTTCTGTCTGTTCTCCATTTCTCTTTTCAGTTGTTCATGATAGGTTACATTTTCCGTATTTTTGTCTCAACCACACTCAAATTTTTTCCTTTGGGGAAAACTGGAGCAAAATCAATTTTAGTGCAATTTTTCAAGACTCCTTGACTTGCGCTTACATCTGTTTGGTGTGGGGGAGTGGAATTTTATCATAAAACGTTTGATTTATTTAATGTATTCAATAAGCATCGAAGATGTGCCAGGTACTTTCTCAGCCCTTTTGGATGAGAAATCTTGCAAGCTAAGAACTTAACAAACAAAGAAGTTCCAGAACTATTTCCCTGCTGTTAAGGTCTCCATGTATCTAAGGAATAAACCAAGTTTGAACAAAGTAGATCCTAATACTTGTAAAGTACAAAATGTCACAGGCCTTACTGATTAAATCTGTGATTGAAACAACTATTTTTTAAATATATTTCCTGATCCTGTTATCTGGCCAACTTAAACTCACCTGAGATGTACCCATGTGGCAGCTCTACTTTCACAGAATTCACAGAATGACTAGGTTGGAAGAGACCTTAAAGGTCATCAACCAACCCATGCCCTAAATTCATTCATTCATTGCAACTGTGTGTCTGTTTCTGTTGGTGAAGCTGCTGTTACCCATCTGTGATGCTGCACCAAGGGCTCATGTAAACAGGGTCATTGATTGAGACCAAGGTAAGTTACAAATTGAAAGGAGGAGCTATTCTCAGTTAACTTCATCTTAATGAAGAGGCAATTTGGAGTAGTTAATAAGGAATAGCTGTTCTGGAATAATCCCTTTTTAAGACAAACCCTCACTGTTTCTATAATTGCATTCCAGGAAGCTATTCTGTTCTGAATCAGCATGGGATAGAGTGCCTAGAAGACGTTCAGACCAAGCACAGCTAGCGGTGAGTGGGCAATACACACCGGGATGCCCTATTGCAGCCATTCCAAGTGAGCAGCAGAATAGCTTAACTGGTTGTCTGTACATCTCTCTAAAAGGCAACTAAAAGCAAATATGAAAATCATGGTAGAGAGGCCTCTGTCTTAGCAGGGATGAAGTCTGAGCTGTCTGTTACTGTCTGAGCATTAGCCTGGTGTTACGGACAGAATGCGTGTCTCAACCCGTAACTGATCACAACTTGATTAAATGTTGGGGTGTGGAAAGGACTTGTGTGTTTTTTCTCAATGTGTCTATTTACATCATTATGTGGGAGCAATCAATTTATCAAACCCATCTGATTATTCAATAGTGGGGAAAGACAATTGGTTGGAAGAAAATGTGTATTGTTTTTAAGGTGGACAGAAAATAGTTTAAAAAGAAATTCACACAATCCCTTTCTTTTGAGGAGAACAAACTAATCAAGGTAAGGGAAATCCAGTAATTTATAATTGCCAATAATTTAAAATGCAATGAAAACTTTCCTGCAGCATAAAATTGTGTTCTTGTCCTTACCAAGGATGATGGGCTGGAGCAGAGGTGGTGCTCTTGTTCTTCAGTACATTGTAGTTGTGATATAGCTGTTGCTAATTCATAGTTCTCTTGACTTTTGGAATTCCTCCATTCCCTTAAAAGGGAAGGTGGCAGCCTGGAGTGGAGAAGCTCCAACTGCAGCCCTCTGGATGTTAATCCACCCCGACTTTCTTAAGCCTCCTACTTAAATCATTATCTTAATGAATCACTATTGCTGCTGTCTTCAGCGCTACACAGGAACATGCAAATTTTAAACAGCCTGGGGGAAGGCCCTTTTTGTCTGCAAAGTGCTCTGATACTTGCATTTAGATGTTACCATGATAGGTACCTTGGATACTGCTTTCTGCCTAAGCCCATGGATAGATCCTGGGATGCAGCTCTCCGCAGGGCCTGCTGGGCAGCTCTGGGCTCCCCCAGAAGGGATGGATGTGATGATTCTGCTACTGACTCGGGGCAGCATCTTGAGCTCAGGTGGTTGAAGCCAGATCACTCCACCATTGTCCTTCAGCTGAGGGCCTCTTGCCTGTGCTTTTCTGTAGCTGCAGAATGACAAGGAGATAGGAGGGACCCCCATCCTCACTCCCCTTAGCTCTGAAATTGCCATTTTCACTGCAGGCAAGTTTCTTCATCTCTACACTTGAATTTTTTTCACAGCTAAAACAAGCCATGCAAGTGTTCATGGATCAACTAAATTTTCTCCCAAGTAGGTATCAGGGAATTTGATACAATAGGAAGATTACCAGCTTGCTAGAGAAACATTTGTTTAAGGAAGAACTGAACACAGCGAAACCACAGTGAAGCAAATTGTCTCCAAGACTTTTAACATGGTGTTGTCCAGTTTTTTTCTTGATGATTCTATTTGGCTACACACTGACCTCTGCTCACTTCAGCTCTCCAAGCTGATCACTTGAGAAATCTTTATTTGTAAATGGTGGATATGGAAAGAGAGCCATTTATAGCTGTTTCAGATGGCAAGTCTTTGTGGTTATTTACAACATGTATTGAAAGATTTGGTTCCTTTATTCATTAAACCAGGAGCTGGCGAAGCTGTTTCATGCAAATGTCATAGATGATAAGAAGTACCCTTCTCAAATTGCAGTCAATTTATCCATGGTCCCTTTTCTGAGGCTTAGAAGTAGAGTCCTTTCCTTTACTATGGGTGACTTTTCCTCGCTACTAGTAGTTCTGCTTCTGGAGCAGGATAAATGTGGAAGATACCAGGTGAACAGATACCCTTTAGTTTCAACTAGGAGAGGATCTTATTAACAGAACTAAGCTTAAATGCATTTTCTGTGATAACATTATCAGTTGTCAATTCCTGTTGGGAGAGTTATGCCCACAAGAGGCCAGAGCATTTATCTCAAGGAGGGCATCCTCATTCCCTCATTCTTCTCAGTCAGATATTCTGTGACACAGGTTCAACTGGAGCTGGATACTTTCATGCTAAGAAGAATGTATCTTCTCAGTTGGTTACCAAAGAAAGGAGATGTGAACAAACAGTACATGCTGACTTTTTGTAGCTCAAAGCCTTGACAGGTGTCCCAGGTGTAAGGCAGGAGATATGATATGCTTCCTCACCTGTTTGTGCACTCCTTTCTGGAGAAGAGCAAATAACTAGCTCTGTGACTCAAGTGACTCAAACCTTTTTCACTGCTTGGTGTAACTCTGAACAGACTGCCACTTTCTTGTAATAGTGTTTAAGGCACTCTTTACAAACTGCTTTACAGTGATAACTATTCTGCTTAATGTGAGCAGGCTGTTGTGTTCTCTGTGTTCAAGCTTCTGGCTGTTTCTGATCCCTCATGGGATGGCAGCATTTTCTAGTACAGGAGGTTAATTAACTGGGGAACTATCTCTCAGATTCAGCACCATGGGAAGGGTCAGAGTAGGGATTTCAGAAGAAATATCAGAAGGGAGCTGTACATGTGTGTATAAATGTGTGTGTATTGTGCATATATTTTCAATGAGAAAATAGAGTTGACTGACGTTTGAAGCTGAGTGCAAAACTTAAACACAACTTTTTCTCATTCCAGTCTGGGAAAGTCATGGTGATGGGTGTGGGCAGGTCTCTGGCTGATTTTCTGAATTGCCTTTATATCAGAACTCCAACAAGGGATTTGGTGCAATTTCTCATCCTATTGAGTAAGAGGATGTTCTATCCCACATTGTTTCCTTAGGAAACTGAAGGAAAGGTATTCTTCTTCACAGATTGTAACACACCCAGTGTATTTTGCAGACACTGTGTGTAAAATATTCAGTCAATGAGATATCCAAAAGGAATGTTTCAATATGCCTACAGCTTTTGCACACTGTCTTATGCTCGTGGGTAGTTGTAGATTTTTGTCAATGTACAAAGGTTGTTATTTCTACAGTTACCTCATTCAAATTCAGAGGTTTGTAACTATGGAAGTAAAATGGTTCTCTGCTGTTATTTTGTTAATGTGTCTTGAGCTACTTTTGTTAGCTGTGTGTTCATGAGAGTCTGTTCGCTCTAATTACCTGCTTGGTTTTCTGGTTGGGTATGCTGAGATTTATATTTCAGTTTATAATTTTGGTTTTTGTTATTTTTCTCCTAATGTTTTACTTACAACTGTCTGCCAGAAATTCTGAAATTGTGGTCAAACAAACTGCTCTGATGTTTCCTCCCAGTGTTTGCTAATTCAGCAGCACTTGAGCTGCTTATAAGAAGCACAGAGAAACTGCAGCTGAGGACTGTGAATGGCAATGATGTGTGAACAAGTGATGTCCACAGCACTACACAGGTAGAGGGGTTTTAATCTGCAAGCATATCTGTCATTAATTTTAAGGCCTTTAGGAACCATGGTAGCTCTGCTAAGAGAGGGGAGATAAGCCAAGCAATTATATGGAGCAACTCTGTTTGGTGAAGCACATCTTTTGGGATTAGCAGGGGCTCATGAGGCAGGGTAGTGATTTGTGCATTGCACTGCCAACTCTGACTGATCCTTCAGGACAGTCACTGTTATGTGGGGCCTCCTGAGAAATGTCTTAAGACTGAGAAAGTTTCCTTGGTTTGTCAGTATTGATTTTAATGCAGCAATGCTCCCCTCTGCTTGCTGGAGAGAACCACATCCTTTCTGCTTCTCTGCTTTGTGGACTTTCTTGCTGGGTGTACACATGAAAGAAAGTAGCCATGAGCTTTGAGTGACTGCAAACTGCTGTACTTTTGGGAAGACTTTGAAAAATAGCAGGAATTTGAAAGCTGAAATTTTGACTGACTTGAATTGGGTAAAAATTTTGAGAGAACTTTGGCAGTAGTTGTTGGGATAAGAGAAATGTCACCTGTTACCTCAGCAGACTTTTTAAGAGCACTCTGAAGTGAGTCCCCAGAAAGTTCTTGCGGAGAGGTGAATGGGCAGCTGGGAGGAAATGCTGTACTCCGTGAAGAAACAACAAACTGGTAAACCAGACAGAAACGATCAGTGTGCTGCTGGGTAAATCCACAGTGTGCCAGTGTCTTAGGCACTGTGTGTTCTTATCACCAACTTCAAAGGTAGTGGAGGGCTAGGGAAGGTCCAGAGAAAAGTCAGTCCCTGTGATTTCTCTTTGCCATAGAGAAGAGATGACTTTTTACAGAAATACAGATGTGTTATATTGTTGTGAATGGAAAGGGTAGTAGGGAGTGATCCTTCACAGTTCCTGTGTTTGCTAAATTGATTCAAAGCAGGCAAAGAGAAGGCACTCTGTCAAGCAGCAGTTACCACGTGAAACTCATTGCCACAGGGTGTTATGGATAGCAGAAGTCTAAACAGATTGGAAAATCGATGAAGGACAGATAAGTTCTTATTAAAAGTGATGGCCTGGATGCAACCTCTGGACCAGGAGATCTTTAACAATTGCACAGGGTGTAAGAAGGGAAAAGACTGCCTGTATTCTATGTCATTGCTTTTCCTCCCTCTCTTCCGTCCCTCACTTTTTTTTTTTTTTTTTTTTTTTTTCTTTTTTTTCTTTTTGGCCCTATTCTGGCTATTGCTGAAGAATAGAGAGAGACAGACCTTTGCTCTTCTAACTTGGCTCTTTTTATAGGTCAAAACTAGAAAGGAAACCACTACCCTGCAGTGCAGGGAACTAGTTTTGCCTTGCAGCCTACAGGTAATGTAAAGCACACTGAAATGAAGAGATTAGGAGTCAAATGCCTAAAAATGTATTATAAAATGCCTCTGTAGCTGGCATCTTTTTTAAAATTCAAAGTTAACAGGAAGGTGAGCTTTTTAATGAAGTGCAAGTAACTACAATGTTTCCAGTTACTTTTTGCACTTTCTCCTCTCAGTGCTACAGTCACTGATAATGCACCTAATGACTTGGGCATTTTTAACTTGCCTAGCACTGACACCTTGGGTTGGAAGCTGAGGATGGCTGCCCTCCACAGAAAGGACTGGGAGGAAGCAGAAAGTTGGGAAGGTGGCTGAAGAGAAG